TGAGATATGTCAAAAATTTAAAATTAAAAAAAAATGTTTTTCGTTATTTTCAACTTTTTTCCAAATTTAGGCATTCTAAACTGCTCGCACTTTCAGAGCCCATTGTTAGTACCTAATATAGCCCATTGTACATGATCTATGACTAGATTTTGTTGTTAATTTTTTTAATGAGGTGACCATTTTATTTTTATCATAATTCCACGAGTTTTTATGGTAAAAAATTGCAATTTATTTTTCGAAAAATTAAAAAGATCACCTTTAGTGAGTGATAACCCGGCTATTATTACACCTACGGTAATAACAAAAAATGAATCGTTCAGTTATTCGAAAAGCTTCATTTTTGCTGCGTTTTACGATAAAATACAAGGTTTTCGAGTTATTTATAAAAAATGGCAGAAAAATATGCAGTTTTTAGATGAAAAATCAACATTTTCAATCCAAAATAATTAGGAAAATATTAATTTTCTGAAAAAATTTTATAGAGCATTTTTTGCTTAGAATTTATCCTTTTATTGATTTTTGCAATTGAAATGAGTGATTTATTTTTCACCACACATCGCTACTATGTAATTTTTGTTTCTTACATATCTACATATCTCTATTCACTGTTAAAATTTCACGTCAATCGGTGCAGGTGTTCAGAGTTCGGACTCTAAAACCCTCGCTTACTAGCCTATTATCATTATTATAATTCTAGATAACAAATAATATTCGCTTTTTTAAATGTTCTTTAAACTTTACTTCATCATTATTTTAATGCTTAAATATCAATTTAGCCCCACATGTGTAGTAAGTAAAACTTTAGTTACATTTTACATGATAATCACAGCAGACTTAATTCATTTTGTCATGATTTTTGAATTAAAAACTTGTATTCTATCGAAATAACCAATCTTTTTAACCAAACTTTTTCGAATGATTTTTCAGAATGATCGATTAACATTTGTTATTTGAATATAACAAGTTCTTACAGATCACTCAGAATGGTTAATTAAAAGTAAATTTGGTAGGAGCCAGCTTTGACTGATCATTCAGTGCAATCGATTAAAATTTGTTATTTAATTATTACAAGTTATAACTCATCACTCAGAGTAACATCACTACCAAATAATTAGTAAAATTATTAGATAATTTTACATGATGATCACAGAAGACTTAATTCATTTTGTAATGTTTTAAATTATCAACTTCTATTCTAAAAAATATCATATTTTGACTGATTACTCACAGTAATCAGTCAAACCAAACCAAATCAAACTAATTTATAACTAAGAGTAACTAAAAAACCGCCTACAAACTGTCATAAGAACAAATCTTGGCATATAATTAACAGTGATCTTGACTGGTTACTCACATTGATAAATCTTGACTGATTACTCACATTGATCAATTAAAACTGAGAGAGTTTTGACTGATCATTTAGAGTGATCGATTAAAATGTGTTCTTAAATTATAACAAGCTTTAACTGATCACTCAGAGTGATCGATTTAAATTTGTTATTTCGTTATAACAAATATAAGTGATCACTCAGAGTAACTAAAAAAACTTGTTATTTAGTTAGAAGAAATCTTGACTGATTACTTAAAACTTAAAACTTTATTTTTTTTTAATGAAACACCGTGTATATTATTACATATTTCAATTCTTCCTTCAATTTTAAACAATAATCGTAATACACAATGCACATAAATTGAAGAATTGAAATGTTAAACGAAAATTTTGTAATTTCCAAACTTGCTATACTCTCATTTTATACATCTATAAATGCTAACTGAAAGTATAAACAGTTTTGGCAAAATGGCATCGTTAAATGAAACTGAACATATCGAAATTAATTAAATCAAATTGTTTAGGTGATATTTTCAAAAGAAAAAACTCGGAAACTGTTGGTATGAGGTACATTGTGTGTATTTCGATTTTTGCTTAGAATTGAAGGAAGAACCGAAATATGCAATAATATACAGGGGGTTCCATTTAATAAATGACACTTTGATGTGCCACGACTTTATGACCACGAATTTATTACCCTCTAATAGATATTTATAAACCTTATAACTTTTATATTTAACTTTTTGCGGTACCTCCTATATTTTACCTAATAATCGATCGTTTCCATACATAAAAGCGACCCTGTATATTTGAAGTCACTTTTTTTATAAAATAAATAATTTCCAAATAAAGAAAAACAATTACTTGGAGTTTGTGTAGTTTACCGATTGAAATAAAAATCAAATAACTATTATCGGAATGTCAATGACTGATTATGTCCAAAACTTTAATAATGAACATCATAAAATTAGAAGTAAATTCTATTTCGGTATCTATGCTCAATATTAAATGTTATTCATATTGACATAACCTCAAAATCTTCAATATCGAAAGTTGTAGTTCGTCGTGCTTACCCCGACAAAGAAAAGAATTTCTGGCGTGCATTCTACACTGATCCTCCTTTCCACCAATACCACCACAACAGCAAAATAAGATAAAATCAAATATTATGTTTTTCACTCGCTCTGTTTTGAGTGTCACGTGGCCATTTTTGTGCTTTTTGCAGGCCCTCCCGTTGACGTGGGCGTCACCATGTACGTTCTTTCTATCAGCTCACTTTCCGAAGTTCAAATGGTATCTATAATGTATATAATACATACGAATATCTTTATATGGAACGTGAAATGCCGAACATCCTAGCCCCGGGCTCCACATATGCGTTGTATCGTATACGATCGATATATACATCGCATATACGTAGTATATACGTTGTATATACGTAGTGTATACAAATACTGGATATTCGGGACCAATACAAGAAGTATTGGCAGAAAAATTGTGTTTGTTAGCGAATATTCAGTACAAACATGGACATTCTAACACATGAAAACATGTTTAGAATGTTTGCTTTGTGTATTTGCTATAGCGTTTTCGTATTTAGAGGTTCAAAATTTTACAATATACAGATTGTTAACTGGACAGTTACTTATAGGGGAATAGAATGGCAACACTGCCTATTGAGAACGCATGCACTTATAGGGTTTTCTGCCAACTCGTCCCGTCGCGTCGTCTATCGACGAGCGGGCCGAGGTTGCCATATTTCAAATAATAAAGTTCTTGCCGCGAGTAATAAACAAATTAACAACCTGTATACACATTTTTCAGGTTAGTTTTATTATACACTCCCTAGACACTATATCTGTTTAAATTATTTTCTGCTTTTGATGAATTTTTTATCGTAGTATATAGGGTGGCCCATTTTTGTATGATTTAGATGGTTTCTTCTAGGGAGAGAATCATTTTCAAATTCGCCCTGTATTTCAGGAACTAAGTGCGCTAGAACAAATCTGTGTGTAGTATCTTAAACTTCATAAAAAAGTAGCATGGTAATGTGAAAACCGTATCTTTGTATTTTTACTTATACGAGACTCTATAAACGAGAAACCCTATAAATCAGAAGAAAATTGAACACTCTGTACAATCATATTTTTGAATGTTACCTTTTTGTTCTTGAGAACTGAAAGAAGATTTTAACATAACGGTATTTTCTACATGTAGTACAATATGATCGAAAAAAAAACGGCGTCAGCAATGGCAACGAAATGAAGCTCGCTTTCATTTATTCTAAGTCAACTGGACGCTGATTTTTTTCGAACATTCAGTACAGCAAAGTGCAAATATTCGTTAAAAATAGAATTGTTATAAACAAATTCCGAATATTCGTATAAGCGCATGTGTGGAAAACGGGCTACAGTTGTTTCAATGTCGAATTGTTAAATATTTTTTAGTTTTTTTCTCTGTTCTACGCAACGCACAATACATCCTCAATTTTTGTCTGTTTTGTTTTTTGTCTTCGTCTGTACAAAACCGTTTTTTTGTCGTTCTGATGTATTGTGTCCATGTAGAACAAATGCAAAAAAGTATTTTTTGTTTTTGGTTCTTAGTGTTTTTCGGTACGCTCTGAATCTAGTGTCCCCGCCACCATAGTTCTAGCCATAGAGTAAAAAGAAACTATAGAGATGGCAAGTCCGTTATAAATATATCTGAATTGTGATTTGCCCTGTACATGCTCAAAATAAATTCAGAATAAAAATTTCTGACGTGGCATCCGTTAAGAAGAAATGAATTTACAATTTACAAAAAAAATCATCAAAATCTAATAAGTGGTTCGCGAGAAATCCAACTCTGAAATTGGGACTAGTTTTTAGTGGCCGGTTTTTTGCCGGTGAGTGTAGTTACCGTATGATCGAAAAAAAAACGGCGTCAGAGACGGCTGGGGACTGACAATCGATGTTAATTTTGACTAGGTCAAGCTCTAGATATAATTTACTTGGCTTGTACACTTCTTTATTTTTTGTAGACTTAAGAAGGTTATAGTTTATTTTTATACTGGGTAAAAATGATTTTTAAATGGTGTAAAATTGGAGAAACGATATTTTTTTGGAAATGACTTCTGTGTCTGAAAACGTTCTATCCATTTTTGACAAGTTTTATGGCATCATTTAGTAAATAATGCCCAGAGAGTGAGCTCGCCAAAATTACCATCAATTGTCATTTCCCAGCCGTCTTTGACGCCGTTTTTTTCGATATTATTGTATTCGAAAAAGAGTCAATCAAATTGGACTAAAAATTGTTACTTATTGACGAGTATTTCTTAAAATATGGTCAAAATTGGCGCCATCCAAGAATATTTCGATTCCAAACCTGCCACTTCTGTATTAATTCTTACTCTATGGCTCGAGCCTGTTGGGTTCCAAATCGCTCAACAGGTTGGGTGCTGGACAGGCCCGGGGTTCACAATTTTTGATTTGGTTTTCACATCAAAAAAATTCGGTGTCCAATAACAACTACGAAATCAAACATAAACGTATACTGGTTTCGTAAACATTTGATCCCATACACTTAATACACGTTTGTTTTCATCTAAAATCATATTGTTTGGTTCTTGCATTTAACTGTTACGTCAAGTAAGTCAAATCAGTCAAATCACAGTCATTTTTGCGGTTTGCAGGACCTCCAGTTGATGTCGGAGTCACCATGTACGTTCTCAGTATCAGCTCAGTTTCAGAAGTTCAAATGGTACTTAAAATATTCTATTTTTTCGATATTATGTCGTACCGCAACCACCAATAGACATTGGTAACGACTTCCATCATCATAATCATTATCAGTGTCATTTACATCTTTCATTAAGTATATTGTGTCGATGCCAAGTCTCTTGGTGGGTCTTTGGACTAGATATTAAGGAAGATTTTTTCTGTTGACTAATAAATAACAGAAAGAAGCTTCAAAGCCATATTCAAGTTCAGTATAATAAGGCATATTGTATGTATATTTTAAACCAAACTATCGTTGTTACTTTTTTAAGTATATGTATGTTATGTTGAAGCTGTTTACTTGGGTCGTTTATAGCCCAACTGGAAAATACACAAACTATCCAAATAACGAGATATTTTTATGAAAAATTATTCTTTATTCAAATGAGCTAGAAATATTCATTGGTTTATATGCTATTCAGCTAGTTCTAACAGTTCCAAATTCAAATTTTAAAAAAAATGACGTTGTCCAATAGTATTGGACAACGTCACCTAAAATTTTCACGTCCTTTAGAGTTCAGTATACAGGGCAGTCCGTATTGTATTCCGAAAACTTCGGCAGCATATTCTGCGCATAAAAATAAGTAAAAAAGTTCGTATAAATGTATGTCTTAAAATACTTAGTTTCGGAGACAGGGTGTAGAAGTTTCATTTTTATTTCGATTTTTTCTAGATAATTTCTGAAGAAACGTCAATATCAGGATGAAAATTGGTGTCTGGGAGATTTCTGACACGAGAAATTTGATTTTGTAGGGGGCGCCACCTACATGCGTTTTGACTGTTTTGAAGAGTAATAACTTTTCGACGGTACCTGTATAAAACTACCGACTAAAAAAATATAAATTTCCATGACTTTTTACGTAAAAAATGTCTCTTGGTAAAAATCGCTACGAGCAACCGTTCTCAAGATATTTAAAATGGAAATAGTCAATTCATATCATTATTGACAAAAAATAAGCACACCTTGAATAGAGTTATTTCACTGAAATAATAAATTAATTTTTTTAAATTAATCATAAATTTTCTGCGAAAAAATAATGATTAAACAGTTTTTGTTGAACTTTTGGCACAGAAAGATTTCAAATTTAAGATTTCAGTCTAATAACTATTTGGTCAACATTGTCAGCATGTTTAATTTGTCAATCATGACAGGTATTGATAATTTTAATTTCAAATATCTCGAGAACCATTACTCGTAGCGATTTTTACCAAGAGACCTTTTTTATGTAAAAAAAGTTGTAAATGTGTATTTTTTTACTCAGTAGTTTTATACAGGTATGGATGAAAAAAGTAGAAGTCATATTGACATGAAAATCAAGTTTCTCATTGCCAAAAACTCCCAGACACCAATTTTCATTCAAATATTGACGTTACTTCTTAAATTATTTGGAAAAAATGGAAATAAAAATGAAATTTTTACACCCTGTATCTCCGAAACTAAGCATTTTAGGACATACATTTATACGAAATGTTTTACTTATTTTAATCTGCACAATATGCTGCCGAAGTTTCCGGAATACAGTTCGGACCGCCCTGTATATTTTGTTCTAGTAGCCCAAATTTGGTGATTTTTAAGTTATATCTAGCTAAATTTCTTGGCTTTTAAATTAAATATTAAAGTTATCACCAAAAGTTATCAAAACAAAATGTTGTGATTTTGGTGAAAACAACATTGAAAACTCTGTTTACTAAGTGTGTTTTAAAGTTTAAAAGACTCTGTGGAATAGTTTAACAAAGGAAAAAAATTGGAAACGAACTTATCATCTTTTCTCTAGTTTGTTTTTAAATTAATCTCAATAGCTTTATTATTGTTAGGGGTATTCGATTTTAAACAACACTAAAAATTTCCAATAATATTAGCATTTCTTTCTCTGGTTTTTGTTTATTAAAACACTTGTGAACAGTGTTTATTGTTTATGTAATGTCATTGTCATTGAAATGTCATATTATTATTGTTTTCTGGCAGTTACTCTAGGAGAATCTCAAGTAATAATCAATTTCTAGACTTAAAACCGTCTCTGTCAGAGTAAGGCCAGTATTATACACTATCAAATTTCTTTGTCAAAGATCGTTTATAAAAGATATTTGATAAAAATATTGACAGTGTTAATATACAATATTTTATAAAATCACACTGTCAAATTCTTTGAAAAATTAAAATCTTTGACAAAGAAAATTGATAGTGTAATACTGGCCTAACTGCCAAACAATAACACTACAACTTTTCGGTGACAGTGTCATTACAAAAACAATAAACAATATTTCATGGAAACGTTGATTAGAGCCAGTACTAAAGACATGTTTTTGATGTTAACATTGTTACTCTCATTTTCAAATCAATCTAATGGGAATAAATGCACCTTGATAGTACATTTTCCTCAAAGAAAGTACCAATTCACCTCCATCCAAAGTACATTTTCCTTAAAATAACTAAACCTTAAGATAGTTTCTATACTTTTCAAATAAGCTATAAACAAACCAAGTAAACACGTAACATACATATTATATTGATGTAAAATATGCGTAAAAACAGCATCATTTTTTTATAAATGTACGTGTGTTTTGATTTTCAGTTTTTGTGTTTCTTTTTTTATATTTTTTTGACAAACTAAAACTATACATCCGGGCTCGACGTACCGGACATATATACTGTATGTTTGTGAATTATTGCGAATGTGGTTTTCAGCAGTCAAACGTCTCGAAGCGTACGCTCTGTGTATAAATCAACCTATATAAAACACCATAATCATCATAATAAATCGAAATAAATATAAATAGAAGTTTCTTTGAGTGTACGCTTCAAGAATTAGGTTGAACTGGGAACTAAAGAAAGCAAAGTCGTCGCAGTCTTGAATACTCGGACTGTGTGCATGAAGGTGCCTCTTCAGTATGCAATATTGCTTTTGTCGTATTTTATTTATATCACTGTACTTGCATTGGTCTGGTAACTAAGATGTCATTCATCTACACGTTATTCATAATTTTTCATAATAATTCGGGATACGATTCACTTTTCTTTTTAAGCCAGATAATCTTTGTCCAATAATTATGTGTGGCATTTTTTTAGAATTTTTTGACTCCCCTCCCCCACTGACATTCATCCCCGACCCTTAATCTCACGTGAGACCCTTCAAAATCTATATTTTGTGTATAAATGCTTTGGGTTTACTTAAAAACAGAATTCCCGATTGTTCAGATAGTAATCTTAAATCACAGATATAACATTAAATAATACATTCGTTCTAAGTCAGGTAATGGAGACTAGTTCACGATCTCAAGAATAATTGTTGGTATCAACAAATCCATGTGATTTTTTTTTGTTACTAGCTCACAGAAGTAACTCAGTAGCTCGTCTTTTAAAAATTAAACTGCGCGCCATAATTTCCCAACTAATACGGAATCGGGGAACACAATTTCGATATTATCAGTACTAACTAACTTTACATCTAGCATAGATTTTAATATACAGAAGAATTTTGCCATATTTCAACATATTTTAGTGGAAATTAATCTGATTATCTCGTATTTTTACACTATCTTTTTCCTAAAAAAAATACATCATATTTGCTGAAACACCATTTTTTCCCCTACGTGAGATTTAGTGATATTTTGCTTGAAACCCTTTCCCCATTTGTATTACCATATATATTTCATATTTATATACTCGTAAACTCTCCTTACTCATTGTACTGCTTAGTTATCCGACCAAAAAAAAATTAAAAAAACAAACTCAATAGAAAAACAAGAAATACTTGTCAGCACCGTATATGCGATGTAGTTGAAGAACATGTTCTGTTTTCATTTGTAAGTCGATGTGTAACAGATACAGATGGATCTCAATCAATATGGGGTATATAAGTCGACCCCAGCTTATCAAACATATCCGTTGGAAACCAAATCAAGGTTAAATAAGGTCACCGTATGACGTGACTCCTCTGGCCTGGCCTTGAATAAGAATGCCATCCTTGCTGAGCCTTATTTTTCTTGCAAATCCTTAAAAAAGTAAATTTTTCCTGTTATTTTTTTTGTTTTAATAATAATATGTTTATTCACCAAAACAAGATAAATGTATTATTGTATTGTTTTTATTTGTCGTAGAATTTGTTTGAAACATGGACGATAAATGTATTTTGTTCAAAATTACCGTAATTATTATTACTTTTTAATAAAAAAAAAAGTTTTACAAAAAATATGACCTATGAATCCTATATCCTGTTCACCCCTGTAAATTCTTCCTTACTATAAATATCAAATTATTGTCCATGACCGCTTAAACTAATGTAACAATATACGTTAATAAATCTTGTGCACCTTGAAAAGCATTAGACTACGAAGAATAAAGCATGAAGCATGGTCTTCGTTGTATGGAGCTAAGTTTTGTTATTAACAGTACATTTTATTTATTATATTATGCCTATATTGCTGTTGCACTAGCCTTCTTTTTGGGTGGGGTTATTTTTATCAAATATGTTATATAAAAATTTTGATATAAACATTTATTAATATATAGAGAGTGTGTTAATATCACGTGGCTAATAGAGAGTCACATCTCATTGTTAAAATAAAACAAAAACATAATTATTAATTAAATATGTTTTTTTCAAATGTCACAAAAGTTTTAATTTTTGCGACTTGATTGACAATATAAAAGAGTCATTTTAACGCCTAGGCATAAAAGTAAAGCACTTTAACGCCTAAGCATAAAATTACTAAAATATATTATTAAACTGACATAAAGTATCAAATTCAACAAGCGTAACTATAGCTTCTCGATATATAATTACTTACAAGGTATTACTTTTAAATCTTATTTGGAACGTTTGAAATTGTTTAAAAAATTATTTGTGGCGTTTGAAAAAAAAATAGTCGGAGTAAAAATGATTTTTTATGCCTCGCCTGTATGTAAAACGTCAAACGTACAGCCTCGTCACAAAAAGTGTCATTTTTGCTCCTACCTATTGGTACTAGCTTTTTCAAACGTCA